GCTGCTTGGCCTGCTGTGTTCATCCAGCCCTGCACCTTGTTGTCTCGGATTCTCCAGCATCTGCAGTTCCTACTATCTCTCAATACGAGACAGTCAGCATAGCTTTGTCAAGGGTAGGTCATGTCTGACATATTTAAATTGAGTTCTCTAAAAAGGAGACACAGGCAATGGATGAGAGTAGTGCTGTGGATGATGTCTATTTGGACTTTCAGAAAGCATTTGATATGATGACACATGGCAGGTTGGGGTTAGCAAATTAGACATGTTTGGGATTGATAGGTCCTTGGCAGCATGGATTAGAAGTTTGCTAAAAGATTGGAAACAGAGGGTAAGTATAGATGGGCATTTTTCAGATTGGAGACAAGTTGAGAATGGTGTTCCCCAAAGGGTCACTGATCGGACCCTTGCTTTTTTCTGATTTAGATAAATAATTTGAAGATGGGTGTTGAGGGCAAAATCTCTAAATTTGCAGATGATACTAAACTAGGGAAAGTAGTGAATTGTGGGGATGATGCTGAGCAACTTCAGAGGGACATTGACAAGTTGGCCAAATGGGCAGACACCTGGTAAATGAATTTCAATGCATTTTGATAGAAGAAAACTGGACAGAAAATACAATTCAATGGTACAATTTCGAGGGAAATACAGGAGCAGAGGGACCTCAAGGTTCAAGTCTTAATTGATTTGATTCATAGTAGTTGCTTGTGCTTAGCTACAGTGAAAAGCTTTGTTTTACAAGCAGTACAGGGAGATCATAGCAAACAAGGACATACAGGCTGCTTAGACAAAGCTAGGCATACAAGGTCATTGCTGCACAGGAGGTACGCAAAGCAAGATCATCCTTAGCAAGCTCTGCTTTATTTTAAGTTGGAGAGGTCCATTCATCAGTCTAATAACAGCTGGAAAGAATCTGTTCTTGAACCTGTTGGTGCCTGTGTTCAAGCTTCTGTATCTTCTGACTGACGGAAGAGATTGTAGGAGAGCATTAGCGGGTTGGGAGGGGCCTTTGATGATGTTGGCAGCCTTTCCCCAGCAATGAGATGTGTAAATGGAGTCTGTGGATGGGAAGTTGATTTCTGTGATGGCTGTGCACACAACTTTCTGTAGTTTCTTATAGTCCTGGGCAGAGCAGTTGCCATACCAGGCCGTTATGCACCTGGACAGTATGCTTTCAATGGTGCATCTGTAGAAGTTGGTGAGGGCCTTATGGACATGCCAAATTTCCTAAGCCACTTGAGGAAGAAGAGGCGTTGTTGTGCTTTCTTGACAGTTGCACCAATGTGTGAGGTCCAGGACAGATTGTCAGTTATTGTCACTTCTAGGAACTTGATGCTCTTGACTCTCTCTACCTCAGTTCCATTTATGTGGTAGGGTGTGTTCTCCTCCTTTCTTCCTGAAGTCAATGGTCAGTTCTTTTGTTTTGCTGACATTGAGAGAGGATTGTTATCATTATGCCACGACACCAAGCACTCTTTCTCCTCCCTGTATTCTGACTCATCATTGTTCGATATCCGTCCTACCACAGTGGTGTCATCAGTAAACTTGTAGATGGCATTCGTACGGAATTTGTCTACAATCTGTACAGGGAGTACAGTAGGGGACTGAGTGCATCCTTGTAGTGCACCAGTGTTGAGGATTATGGTGGAGGAGACGCTGTTGTCTATCTTCACTGATTGTGGTCTGTGGATCAGAAAGCTGAGGATCCAGTTTCAGAAGGAGGATCCGAGATCTAGGTCTCGGAGTTTTGAGATTAGTCTGATAGGGATTATGGTGCTGAAGGCAGAGCTGTAGTTGATGAGTAGGAGCCTGACGTAGGTGTATTTGTATTCAGATGTTCCGCGGATGAGTGTAGGGCTGGGGAAATGACGTCCGCTGCGGAGCTGTTATGTCCATAGACAAATTGCAGGGGAAGGAGGCAGGCTGGGAGGCTGGAGTTAATGCAGGCCATGATCAGCCTCTCAAAGCACTTCATAATTGTCTGAGGTGGCCAGGCAATTTGAAACAGTTGTTAAGAAGTCTTATAGAATCCTTGGGTTTATAAATAGAGGCACAGAGTATATAAACAAGGAAGTGATTCTACACCTCTACAAATCATTGGTCAGACCACATTTGGAGTGTTGTGTTCAGTTCCTTATTAAAGGAAGGATATTAAAGCCCTGGAGAGAGAGCAAAGGAGATTTATGAGAATGATACCAGGAATGAGGGATTTTAGGTGCAAAGAAATATTAGAGAAATTGACCTTATTCTTCTTGGCGAAACGAAATTTAAGAGGTGACTTTACTGAGGCATTCAAAATTATGAACAGTTGACACGGTAAGTAAGGATATTCTGTTTCCACTAGTTGGTATATCTGTAACTAGGGGTCGCAATTTCAAGACTGTCAGCAAGAGAGCTAAGAGTGAGATTAGGAGAAATGTCTTCACTGAGAGAGTTGTTAGGATTTGGAATGTGCTGCCTAGGTAAGTTGTGGAGGTGGATTCAATTGGAAGTTTCAAAAGAGAGCTAGATATATACTAGAAAGTGATTAATTTAGAGGGCTACAGAAATAGGGCTGGAGAACGGGACTAGCTGATAGCTCTTTTGGGAGCCAGTAGAGATGCGATTGGTTGAATAGCCTGCTTCCATCTTGTAAAATTTTATGATTTGCTGACTCTATAATTATGAATCTCATTTTGGTTCCTGGATGTTGACTGAAGGAATGTATACCTACTACATTTTCTTCTTTCTTCCCCTAGCTTTCCAGTTTAACAATGACTATTGACCTCAGAATCTTGATTATTGGATGAACAACAATTAATCTGTGTCTTCATTCCCAGTTCAACCAGAAACTGGAATGTTTCAGCATCTTCAGGAAATGAGGAAGGAAATTGAATCCCACCCCCATTGCCATAATTAGAAAGTTTGCAATTCAGTTGTGATCAAGACTAGTACCTTAGGTAAATAATTGTAGAGTACATCTATTCATAATTAAGTTGCTTAATTGTAGTTTGCATGCATTTAGTGCAACTTTTTTTACAACTGAATCAAAAAATGATAATTGAAAATGCATTGTATAACATAGCAAATTAAAAACTAAACCGATAAGTGAAATATGTTCCTTGTTCAAGTACGAAACCTGTATTATTATCTGAAGTGAATCCATCTAAAATTGCTGCTGATCAGTTTAAGAGTGTTTGCAAGTGTACTGATTTGTTCTTTTTCTTCAACTGTATAAAGCACCATCTAATGGTCAGGCAGGAAATGACTGAACATCAAGCATGCTTTG